TAGTTGTGTATGTTGTATTAATTTGTATAGACAAAATCAAGTAGTTTAAGATAAATTTATTGTTTTTGTTTAGTAAATAATTTCATTTTTTTGTTATAATTGTGTTGATTTGTCTAATCTTAATTACATTATGTTTTTGTATTAACAAATCTAAATTAGAGTGTAGGTTCATACGAGTTTATTGTATTGTTAAATGTTTTCAATTTTTCATAGCGACTAGTAAAGAGATTTGTATTTAATCTTTTTTTTTTATTATGATTATTGAACATATGTTATGATTTTCTTACTTGGTTCATTTCGGTCAAACCAATSCTATCAAACATTAGAATCAAAACAGTTTCACGACATCCAAATCAGTTTGCATTGTAATACTATATTATTTTAATAATTTTGTAAACTTTATACTTCTCTATTTGCTATGTAATAATCATATCATATTCCCAAACAAAATGTATCTTTTAAATCTTTATTAAAAATCGACAAATTTTGAATAAATTATATATATATATTTGTTTTTTTGTTGTTTATATATTCCATCGTTTGATTTTTGCGGTTTAATTGTTCATCGCGATTGTCCGTGATTAGAGATCCATTTAATTGGAGTGTTTAGGGTAGTAATCGTAGTTTTGGGGGTTTAGGGTTCATGTTACAATCATGAAAAATGGGTTTTTTTCCAGATAACTTCTTCCTCTTGCTAGTGTAATATTTGATGCACCAATGATGGCTTCTTTTTCTTAGTAATTGTTATGAGATATGTTTTGGAGATGATTATGGACCAATCTTCCAAATTTAGGTGGTTTTTTTCAGTGCTTGTAGTGGTTAATGGACCAAAAAATCACTATGTTTCATGTATCACAAATTGATTCAATAGCTTACACAGTGTTGAATACATTTACCTAATCTTGTTGTTTCTTCTTATTGTCGGATGATCAAAAGCAGGGTATGTATTGTTACTTAGGTTACTTAGTCTTGGTTTCTTGACATGATTATGTGATGTATGAATTCAGTAACTTAAGACAAACGAAATACAAAAGGAGTATGATTACAAAGGGAAAAGCTTTCCCTAAGAATAAATCATAGAAACTTGTAACTTGTAAGGCTGTGTCCTTTATGATTGTCTTGTAGCAATCTTTATTCATGTCTCTAGCCTCTAGGCATA